AATGTCCGCACCCTCCGTCAAATTGGCCAACAGGCTTCGTTGGCAAAGACTCTAGCAACTCGAGGCATGGATGTGTGCTGTGTTTGTGAGACACGCATACAGGACCCAAGTGTGGTTATTCACCTGACCTCTCCTGACCAATCTGGTGAATCTGCAAAATTCACCCTTCGAGTTTCTGGAGATTCGATAGCTAGCTCTCGTGGTCTTGCAGGTGTAGGTATAGCATTAAGCACCAGGGCAGAAAACTCACTACTAGACTGGATCCCAGTTGATAGTCGCCTCTGCGCTATGAGGCTGAACGGCACAGTGAGAACTAAAAGGAATAGTGAGACTCGCCGTTGTCTCTTTGTAATCTCTGCTTACGCACCCACTGACTGTAGTTCGGATGAAGTGAAGGACGAGTTCTACCATAAACTGTCTAACCTCCTCTCGAAAGCCAAACGTTCGGACGTAGTGGTTGTTGCAGGTGACCTCAACGCACAGGTGGGTAGACTGAGTGAGGCAGAAAGGCACTTAGGTGGCACTTTCGGAATCCCAGCTGAACGTACAGATAACGGTGATCGCCTATTACAACTATGCTCAGATAACCGCCTATTTTTAGCCAGCACAAATTTCAGACATAAAGAAAGGCACTGTCTGACCTGGCGTCCACCGAGCTCGACTCAGCGATGGACACAGATAGACCACATTGCTATTAGTCATCGCTGGAGAGGATCGGTGGAAGACTGCCGCTCCTTCTGGAGTACGTGTTTGGACAGCGATCATGCGTTGGTCCGAGCACGTATATGCCTGCGTCTCAATGGACGTAGAAAAAATTTGGCAACAAAACCACTACGAGTTCTGCTGGACAACGAAAACACCAAAGCCGTGTTCAGTGAGAAGTTGGCTAGGCAGTTATCGGAACAAAAGACTGTCACTCATCCAGAAGAAGCTTGGTGCCATCTTCAGTCTACTGTAAAAGCAGCACTGGAGACTGTAGCCGACTCCAAGATAATGGCTAAAAAGAGCCAGTGGATATCAGCAGCTTCTTCCAAACTAATGGATGCACGTGAATGCATCCCTGCAGGCTCTGAGTACAATGAAGAGCGAGCGCAACTTAAAAATAAACTGACGAAAAGTCTGCGCAACGATCGTGAACAGTGGTGGGCAGCAAAGGCTAAAGAGATGGAAAAGGCAGCGGCGATCGGTAACAGTAGACAGTTATTTAGACTTATTAAGGAGACTGGGGGGAAATGGTCAACAACAGTTAGTGAGGTTATAGCGGAGAAGGACGGATCGGCGATTCACTCGCAGGGAAGGCGACTGGGACGATGGGCAGAACACTTTGAGGAACAGTTTAACTGGCCTCCAGCCACCATTGCGCTGCCCGCTATCCAGTCGGACCCTGAATGGGACATAGAGACAGGTCCCCCAACACTAGAAGAAGTTGAGAAAGCGGTAGGTAGCCTGAAACGGGGAAGGGCAGCAGGACCAGACGGACTACCTGCTGAGGTATACAAGAATGGTGGTAGAGTTCTCTTAGTCAGGCTAACGGAAGTGTTAGCCAGTATATGGGAATCAAATACGATCCCCTCCGACTGGTCTAAGTCACTGATCATCCCAGTCTTCAAGAAAGGCGAGAAGTCCTCTTGTGATAACCACAGAGGAATCAGCCTGACAAACATAGTGTCTAAGATCCTAAGTTCTATAATTCTCCGACGCCTGAGTGGAGCTCGGGAACAGCAAGCCCGAGAAAACCAGGCAGGCTTTAGACCTGGCCGTGGATGTATCGACCAAATATTCACACTGCGCCAGGTCCTGGAACATAGGCATGCTTACAGACGCCCGACAATAGCTGTATTTCTCGACCTGAAGGCGGCATTTGACTCCGTTGATCGAGAAGTCTTATGGCAGTGTCTGTCACTGAAAGGCGTGCCTAGTAAGTACATCACCTTATTGAAAGCTCTCTACTCGAACACTTGTGGGCATGTTAGAGCCTATGGTGAGTTGTCCAGGGAGCTATACTCATCAAGTGGTGTCCGTCAAGGATGCCCACTATCCCCATTCTTATTTAATTTTATCATAGATATTCTTATGGAGGTTTCCCTCTCGTCACCTAATTACAAAGACGTTGACCGGATCACAGGTGAATTTTCCTTAGATCTAGAATATGCAGATGACATAGTCCTGTTAGGTGAAGACGCTGACAAGATGCAGAGTCTTCTGAACACTTTGAGTGGGAATTTGAGAATGTTTGGGATGCGATTTTCACCACCCAAATGCAAATTTTTGCTCCAGGACTGGTCTTCAGCGGTACCGCGGTTAACAATAGAGAGTGAAGTGGTTGAGTGTGTTGACCACTTCACTTACCTGGGAAGTAGGATCAACTCCGGTGGGTTAGTTGCCGATGAGATTTCTGCACGGATACAAAAGGCTCGATTGGCTTTTGCCAATTTGCGCCACCTATGGCGCCGCCGTGATATTCGTTTGTCTATTAAGGGTCGCGTGTACTGCACAGCAGTCCGCTCTGTTCTACTGTATGGCTGTGAAACATGGCCATTGAAAGTGGAAGACATGAGAAGGTTACAGGTATTTGACCACCGTTGCCTTCGTAGTATAGGACGTATTCCGTGGTGTCACCATGTGAGTAATGCAGAAGTTAGGTGTAGAGTTTTAGGGAGAAGAGGTAAGTCAGTCGACGAGGTTGTGAACCTTCATCGACTGAGATGGTTGGGACACGTACTACGTATGCCTAGTCACCGATTGCCTCGTCACACAATGTTGGCTGAGGTGGGTTCAGGCTGGAAAAAGGCCCGAGGTGGCCAGACTAAAACATGGCACCAATGTATGAAGTCTCTGACTGTTGGTTTAAGCCATGTAGGACGATGCAGACTAGGTGGTTGGGGTCCACGGGACAAGAGGAACCAGTGGTTGGAGACCCTAGGTGATATGGCTCAGAACCGAAGTCAGTGGCGCAGATGTATACACACATTATCCTCATCTTAACAACGCTATACCGAATCTCACTATTTTGTCACTCCTCTTTCCTTTCTTCTCATACTTTATATTTCTTTTGACTGCATTCACTTATCTTCATCCTTCACCTCACTACCTTTTTACTTGATGTGCTGATATGAGGTGTGGCAACTCGGACCGTTACGCAGTAATGCCTGGTCCTATGTTGATAATGATGATGATGATGATGAAGTTAATGTGCTGTCTTTCTGTATATCTATCTTCTACTTTTCTCCGTTTGACAACAATCAATTCCAATGGGATCTGATTTGAAAAAAAAAAGTGGATTTCTAAGTTATGACCACTATTCATAACCAGTAGTTTTTGATTTAACCCTCACTCTGATCACGTAACTCAACCTGCTACACGTTTATATACTAGACTATGATGAGCAATACTTGTTACGTGGGGAGCTTATGATACGACAAGGTTGTCCAGGCCGAAACAGGTGGAGCAGGATTCGAAAACAAGACTAATTGCTTGAGAGTCAAGTTTCTAAGCAAGTAAGCCACATCTCCACACCAATAATATACGCATACAACAAAACATGCCACACTGATTCACAGTAGTATATCAAAGCTTTCTACATCAGTAAAGGGAAGAGAATTGGGAAGAGGAAGCATAAATGAATGCAGACAGTGATATCACAAGGAGCGTGGAAAAATAACTAAGAAAAGTTAATCAGAAAGCCAAAATAGGATATAAAAAGTTCTAAAATAATGAAATATTCAACACCCAGAGGAAGATAAGGTGTGGATGCCTCAGTATAATCACAACTAACTGGAAGTTGTATCGTATCACTATCTCAGATAGCTTGGTTAACACAGTAATATCAGTGATTCAACTAACTTACATAGCTTTATTTGAATTATCAATTACTTCCGTTGATGATTTACAGGGCAAAGTCAATCAGTTTCTGTTAGTACACGAGCTCCTTGTATAGATGCCTCGAAATTGTCTTTCAAATAAAATCTTGGTCATGTGTTTGAATGCCCCTTAGGAATTATTCAACAGCAGTACATACATTCATCGCAGTGAGTGTAGGGGCTTTCACTGAAGTTCAGGTCAAATGTGACCAAGATCTGCTTACAGGTAATACGAAGAAATCTATCCCTATGGTGCTTGTAAGGATGGGTACTGGATTAAAGCTTCAATGCAAAACCAAATACTTTAATGTTTACATATGTAGTTAACAAATGAGTCCTGTATACGACAAAACATACACTGTGAATTCTTTCGTTAGTCAATACTCAAATGAAACTAAGATGATATCATCTTCATACGAAGCAAACTTTCTCGATGAAGATGATAACCAAAGTTGAGAGTTGGAGGCAATGACGGGATATGAACTAGCGATCAACTAGTCGTCAGTTTACGGCTCCATCGACTAAGCTACGAGATCGCGTTGCTGATCAAGTTTCATTCATTCCATTAGATTTTTCCTATGATCTCATTGTAGAGAAATACAACTCAACAACCACGTGCATGTTTGCACAGTAAACAATGAGCCACACGTAGCTGCCCAGATCTCGGCAAGTGGAGGGGGATGCAAATCTGCGGCTGACCGGTTAAAAGTTGAGTGCTTAGACCAATGAGCCACAGCCCCAAATGTCAGTGATCAGGCATATAAGTTTGAACATTAACTTCAATAGCCACTTAAGGTACTCAACGAACTCGTGTGTTCGGAGGAAATGAAAGTTTAAAATGTACACCCAACATAGTGGGATTCAACTTATGAACAATTCACACAGTTAATCTCAACTTCGATCTAATCACTGAAATAAAACAATCTATGTGAACTACCTGTCATATATTGAAACGATGGGGAAGATTTGTAGCTCGGGATGAGAAAAATGGTAGTTCAGCGTTCTCTGAGCTTCAGTATTTTGTCACAAAACACAGAACAGTGAACACCGAACCACCTTTATCCGCCAAACACTAATATACAAAACATATGAAATCAGTTAGTGAGATGCACGAAATCAGGATAGAACACAATCTCATACCCAAGTTCATTGGTTCTCCAGATTCTGAGTTAAATAGAAATGGTAGGAAATCATCCTTATTACTCCGAATATAATGTGAAGCAAGATAACGAAGTGTTCTCACTAATTGTCTTGTCGACTGGTATGAATTGTCTTTGGTGGTGGTGGTCGTCGTCGTGTTATTGATGAAATCTTGCCCATTATTTGGCATTCCAATCTTTTCCAATAAAATGTGAAATGGGTAATTCTTAATCTTTAATTGATGCACTATTGACTGATACAAACAATCGCCATCTGAAGGGACCTTATAGCATAAAAGGTAATAAAAAGCAATAATAAATCACTGGTAAAGAAGCTGAAAGGTTTCTTTTTTTATCAATATTGTATTTATATTCAGTGTAAGTAGAAATACTGAAATGATACTTGGTCAACTAGACACCAGATCGCGTACACGAACTAGGAATTTCGATCCACAACTCTGATACTATTGACTCACCGGCAAGTTCAACGGGATGGATATCAGAAAATCAGACTGTTGACAAAATAACTCTACATGTGTACATAAAGAGAAGTTCACTCAGCTACCTTGTGCACATTCGTGCATTAAGCAATGACCCGCACTTATTGTGTTACGATTTATGATACTATCTGGCTGCCCAAAGCTCGGTAGGTGGGGCGGGGCTCGAACCCTCGGCCCAGTGGTTGGCAATGACTTCCCCAAACCACTGTGCATCAGTTCAGGTTGTCACACTTTAAATTAGTATGCAAAGAACAAATAGAAAAAGACTCATATCAAAGTAGACAAAGGTGTATGGGAGGAGAAACAATTTGAATATAAAGGTTATTGTGAATATTCAAACTTTAGATATGAAGGAGGGAATAAATCTGCGCCATTGTGGTGGAGTTTTAGCCATTTTACCAAAGGTCTCAAACCATTGAGAGGACGTGAGTTAGGTAGTCTACACCTCCCTACACGGCTCACACTAACAGACAGACTTCACGGGCTGGTGCCATGTCCAGTTCTGGTCACCCTGAGCCCTCTCTCCTCTAACTTTATCATTCTGTGGAATTTATCAACCTCATCCACCGATCTTCCTTCCTTCCCTAGTAACATTTGCCTAACCTCTACATTGCTCACACAGTGATTCCACCAAACATGAACAATGCTACGAAGACACTTTTGGTCAAAAACCTCTAGGCTCTCGACATTTTCTTCAACGGTCATGTCTCACAGCCGTATAACAAAACAGAATGAACTTCAGTGCGGTATACTTGTCCCTAATCAGGCAGTCGGCTATCTCACCGGCTGCTACTAGAGATGATGCAAGCCGCCAAATGCCAAATGAATCCTCTATAGCCGAACTGGGATTTTGACAGAAACCACCCTGTTTGCGCCGATGCAACTTATCGAGTAAATCAAGCGGTCAACCCATCCAACCACCTCACTCCTGATCATTCAACTAAGAGTAGCTGCAGACCAGTGATGAAGCATTATCTTATATGACAGGTGTAAAACGCATACCAAATTTGGGCAGATTTCTGCTCAAAACTTTCAGCATCCTCACTTAGCAGGACAATATCATCTGCATCTTTCAAGTCAACCAGATTACTTCCAGGGAGTAGGTTAATCCCTGTGAAGTCAGACGTACATAAGGTTTTATCCATCAGCACGTCTATAACGAAGTTAAATAGGAACGGTGACAGTGGACATCCTGGCGAACACCACTAGTTGTCGGCAGTTCACATGATAACTCTCCATAAGTCCTTACACGGCTGTGTGAGTTCGAGTGGAGAGCTTTGATTAGTTACATACTTTTTTGGTACTTCCCATATAGTCAGGCACTGCTACATCTCACAGTTGACAGTCGAATGCCACCTTCAGATCAAGAAATATGGCAAGTGTTGGCCGCCTGTGTCCAAGAACCTTAACAAAAGTGAAGATTCAATTGATGCAAACTCGTCTAGGTCTGAAAACCATCTGGTTCTCCTGAGTTTGCTGTTTTCGACCCCAGTTAGGCGTTGAATAACTATGAACCCCAGGATCTTTGACGCGATATTAGTCGAACGGATTCGCCCAGGGTTGTACAAGAAGGCCTCCCTTATCTCGTAAACTGAAGGGATCAGTAAGGCGAACCAATCTGATGGGACTACACCTCTGATTCTCATACACCACCTAGTACCTCTGTTATTCTAATCGGCAACTTCCTGCCTTAACCCTTAAGATCTTCGGGTGACAGATCATCACGTCCAGCTTCTTGATATCATTTCAGGTTTTTTTAAAAAGCCTCCTCAACTTTGAAAAGAGTTGGAGGACCGATGTCTACTTCTCATTCAGATTTAGGCTGGATTTTTAGCAACTGAAACGTTGCTGTAAGCCAGCTGAACTGTGCTTCAAAGTGTTCTGTCCAACGTTCTAACCCCTGTGCTGAGATATTGTAAGAGTCCCGTTCACTAACGATCGTCTTCTTCGTGCCAGTACCCTAAATAAACCTAAATAATTGCCGGGCATTACCTAACGCGGATGCTTTTTCCCTCTATCTCACTCTCCATTCCCCACTGCGCACGATCATTGTGAAGACTCTTGGTCGATTTACGTTTCTGTTGCTTTGGCTCTTCACCGTGGTTAGAGCCAGCTTGAATCAGTCTTCTTGCATCAGTCGATTCGGATGACGTCTTGGATATCATCAGTTGACGTTTGGTAACCCTTGAATGTAGGTTACCAACTGTCTTTACCACTTTTTCTACAGCAGACTTAATATCAGGCCATGTTTTCTCAGGATAAGCATGGCTGTCACACTTAGATAAATCCTTAGCTATCTTCTTATCTTTCAATTATACACGCACAAACCTTACTGCCACCAGTAAGAAGCAGACATCCCTGAGCCTGTACTAACGTGTGACCGAAGTCCAAACAGGTACTCCAGAAAAGCTGGAAATCCTCCACCGATCCTCTCCAACGATGGCTTATAGCAATGTGATCAACATGTGTCCGTCGTTGGTTTGAAGTCAGCGGACGCCATGTGAGACAGTGTCTCTCCTTATTTTATCCTTTGAGCCAGAAACAAATGATTATCACAACAAAGTTGCAACAGACAAACACCATTGTTGATTCGTTGGCACAGGATCATGTAGATACCTCTCTTCGATTGGCTCAGTTTTCCTAATCGGAAGTTGAATTTGCCTGCTATTATGAATATATTTGAAGGTTTTGCTTTACGAAGCGAAACTGATAGCTTTTGAAAGAATTCATCCTTTGCGTCATCCGAACTCCAATCGATGGGCACGTAGGCGGAGGTTACGATTAGGCATAAGCTAGTCTTTTGGTCCTCCTTGGATATTACAGCTCCATTCAGCTGAACAACATATACAGCTATTGGCTGGTATCTAATCGAGAAGTGTGCTTTTTACTCTGCAACTTAATGCTATGCCTACACCAACAAGTTCACGAAGGCTAGACATTGAATCTCTAGAAAGCCGTTAAGCGAATTTTGAAGACTAATTGTCTTGGTCAGGTGAGTTAGGTGAATAAACACACATGGTTCCTGTATACGTGTCTCAGAAACACAGCATACGCCTATATCTCGAGATTCCACAGCTTTGGCAAGATATGGCTGTTGTCCGATTTGGGATAGGGGTTATACGCTAAGAGTTCTGATCTGAAATTGGCACAACAGCTTTAGGAGACTAGAAATGGTGTTTTGCTGACAAGGATAGTTGGCACTGTTCGCAGGGTGAGAGGTTGAGGAAGCCGCAATGAACTCAATGTTGGTATCAGGTGAGGGTAAACGAGGAGACAGAAGTAAGGAGGATAGGCTATTCCTGATTGGATTTTGTAACTGTTGGAAGCGTGAGGGTAGTTGACACTTTCCGGCTACCCATGCCGTGAAAGTTGTTTTTCTAAGGTACCTGAAAAAGAATTATGTGACCACAGAGCTCATGGAAAATCTGCTTGAGGCATATCACACACAGCTATCTTGAGATTGTTGATTTGAGGTTCGGTTGTTCTAACATCGGATAAGAAAACATATGGTTAGCATCAGGAAACTATAGGGTAGGAAAGTGTGCTACTTTTGGGGTCAACTTTTTCGAACCCACCCTTCAGCCGCATTAGCATAGCAGTGTTGACCATCCAAGGAAAACACATTACGCTGTCGCACCCTGTCTAGCTAGTAGTACGACTTCGCCCATCAACTCCCACCATAGCGAGGCGACTTACACCATAACGGTAACTGCTTTTCGTCTTACCAATATCCAACAGACCTTTCTGACATGGTAGGACTTGGTGGGTCATTGTGGCATACAAGTAGCAGCTATTGGTCGGGAAATATTATCAAAACATTTGACTCGTTACAGTGCTATTCCACACTTGTTTCTCAAGGGTTTACCATCATTAAAATAACAATGCAGCTTGGAAATCACATACAGATTAGCCACACTCTATACCAGGAGTGGTAATGATCCTATGTGTAGTTGCAGAAACTTCGCTTGTTAGATGGAGCGGAATTTAGTTGCCTTAACCAATAAGCTATAGCCCAATCAATCACTTAAAAGTTTATTTTCCATCATAGTAAGCACACGTGTTTTACTATGGAGGCTAATAATACGATCCAGATGCTAAAAACAAGACAACGACAACAGAATTCGAAACCCCCTAACTAAGTACACAAACACCATAAAAGTATCCTGAATTCAACCCACAACAAATTTAAGATAAAACAATAATAGTATAATATATGATTACCGAAACAGAATTAAACTAGACTAATTGAAATCTAGAGAAATTATTGTTTAAAGGATAAATTCGTTCTTATAACTAACTAATAAAAGCAGTATGAGAAAGTCATGAATAGGGAAAAAGTTCACTTATTACATGTATTTGTGTACTGGGCTACATGTGACATTTATTGTTCAGTTCTGAATGAGAATGCTCAAACAGCTAGTGAACATTACTTTAAAAATATACCCGAAAATCTTGGAACAAATAATCATCGCTTAAAACACACTAACCATGAAATGACTACAATTTGCGCAACATTCCAAAGTGGATTAACACATGGAAATCATTGATTCGAACACTCATTTTCTAATCAGTTGACTACATATTCAAACACGTATCTAGACTTTGAAGCAACGAGATAACACCAAAGATATGGTGCGGATCCATGAAATTTCTCACTGTTGGTATATTTTGCTTGCAGGAAGGTAAGATTCTTATTTGCGTTTTGCCAGACAACTGAAATAGGTGGCTGAGGGAGTTTAAGTGACATAGTTCTCCAGCAATAACATAAATTCATCCTAGTCCTAGATTAATGCAGGTTATGAAAACCCGGTAAACAGGGATTTCTGGAGCGGCCGCTCATTTGATTTACAACTGATGAGTCATGAGTTCAAACCCCGTTCCACCTACCAGGGTTTGAGCAGTCAGGTAGTATCTTTAGACCTCAAATAGTAGGTGTAGCTTGTTGTCTGCTGCATAAATATGCACACATTTGCTGCGTGGACCTCGACTTTTTCCCGAAAAAGAACGAATCCACAACATATATAAGTCCTAATCCGATAGATATTCAGCACTCCATCCAGATCTCTGCAGGTAAAATGAACTGACTAGCTAAAGATATACAGTCAATTACCCACTTCGTATGAAACCTTGCCGTGCTACTTTGTGTCACCCGTACATGATTTTTTATCCTACCAACTTATCTATGTTGGTGAGGATTTTGGTCAATCGAAACGATACGCGATTTCACTAGCCTATATGTTGTGTTTGTTTCTTTTTGTTCTACCTAAACTGGCATCGGTAACCAGGTAGTATTGTTACCTTTTATTCAGTTTATAGATCAGTCTACAAACAGGTTTGCCGCTAATTTTTGAGTGTTTTATTCGTCATACAATAGGGTAGGAGTAATTTCACTGATAAGATCCCCACTCACTCAGTGACATACGTAGATATATTTCATTTAGTAATTCATGTAAAGTAAATCAGTAAACATCGAATACACCTTCAAATGGTCATAAAAAAGGAACGAAAATATATCAAAATGTGAATATTTATAGGTTCACCTGATGAAACATCACCCGATCACAAATACATTTGACTTACTTCAAAGAGTTTTAAATGACGAGTTTCCAGTTGACTTTCTAGCTTTTTCATCTCAATGGATCGAAGACTATCCGATTTATTTGTTTGTATATTTGCTACAGCAGCTGCCTGTTGAGCACGTTGAATTGCAGCTCGCTTTTCACGCCTACGAGCTGCCTTACTGACTTTTTGTGTCGGGGCAACAAGTCCATCTGAGTAATCTATAAATAAATATCATTCGAATTTTTAACTGATACTACCTTGAGGACTAATGTGATTCGCATTTTCAGCTGACATACCTCTCTCTCTCTTTGACTTGAGGAAAAGTTGGGTTGTTTTGCCCAAGTAGTTCTGAAGCGACAGTTGGTTTTAAAATCTTCCAGTTATAAAATTACATGAATTCAGTCAATATCTAAAAAAAGGACAAATAACCACCGTAAACAATCTTAAGAAATAATTACTGTTTTGTGAAACAATTGTGAACATAACACGAGCATGAAAAATTTGTAGGGAATTCGTAAGTAAACTATAGTGGATTAAAATAACTAGTGTGACTCAACTTACCATTGAGTTTTCATTGGGCTAAAAGTAATGAGAATATATGGGTTGAAGGCAGTAATTCTGTAGTCAATGTTGAAATCCGGTTCAAGCAACGGATGGCAGGTTCGAAACCCGCTCCACCTACGTCGGCCTGGGCAAACAGGTGAAGTAATAAGCTGTCATATAAGAAGGGTGGCTCATAGCCTATTATATACACACATATTTGGTTGATTTACATTAATTATTGATCAGTGCAGCCAATAGTTGGATACGTAGATCACAAAGCAATCTCCCAAATTAGCATGGTAGAAGGAATCAAATCACTTAAACCAGGAACGCTGATACTGACGTCAGATTGACAATAATCCGTATAAGTCAGTAGCCCGCAAGCGAAAGAAGAAAAAAAAATGAAACATGTTGAAAAATGAAAAGACGAGTAAAATACTCAAACCACGCAAACCATCAAGGTTTAAAGTTTATGAAGTGACTGCGAACAGTGATGAGTAGTAATAGCTAAAGAGATGGAAAAGGTAGCGGCAATAGGTCAGGGCAGACAGTTATTTAGATTTATCAAGAAGACGTGCGAAAATGTTAGTGTCAGTGAGCTTATAACGGAGAAGGATGGGAAACGAAAACATCCAGTGTATTTGGGGACGTGGTAGGCGGGCATCTTCCTGAACATGTCAACAACTGTCATCCGTATGAATCTCACGGAATTATTCAGTCCGCTGTAGAAAGAGCAAATAAGACAGTAACCTACACCTAAAGGTTGGTAAAAGCTAGCAAATCTCTGCAGCCTAGTGTTAAATTATCAGTGAGATAAGCAGCTTAAGCATAAACTGACTAAGAGTTTTTCCAATGACTGCAAACGATGAAGAGATGACAAACGCAAAGAAGAGGGCATCAGTTTTAAGTAATTTTGAGTAAATATTTAGGCATATTGACCATCGTAAACAGCTGGTCATAAATACTTTTCCGATGATTAGTATCCTCTTCATCCGCATCTTTCCTCAGTATATCCTCAGAAAAGACAATAAACAAACACATTGAACTTCATGAAGATACAACAACCAGCAAAAATCCAACCGTGAAATATTTATTCCTCTCTCTGGAAAAGCTAAGACCAAACTTCAGTGCGAAACGTTGATATTTATTTCAAACTTCTTGGAAAAACGAATGTTAGAAAATCTTATCAGTCAGCTCTGCAACAGCGAGTTGTCTTAACCTTGCCATCGTTTAGATATTCAAACGATCTTATTACTTCTAAATTCATTGCTAACTATTAATGTTGATAATATATTTGAATGACAAAATTAGAAGACGTAGATTATCTGAAAAACGTGATGTATTTGCGCTATACATTGTGTGATCAGATTGTTCGAAATGTATAACGCAAATACATCACATTTTCCAGATAATATAAGTCTTTTAATTACGTTATTCAAAGCTAACACATTAGTTAAATGTTGTACAGTAAGCAAATTTTGCAATGGCACATGCTGATAAATCTGTATCGTATGTAAAATATTGTTCGAAATAAAACAAATAAATTATCATTATTATTACCAAAGATAATGCCAAAGAAGGTGATAATGAGACTATTACCTAAAAGAATGGATTTTTGACAACCTCACGAGTTAGCTGGAACGCTAGGAGGGATATATCAAACCACAATTCAATTGATTACATTTTAACATGCAATTAAAACCTACTATAGTACCTGAGGTTTGCACATATATTGACAACTTAAGGGTCCTACAACACTCCAGTCAGTTAGCATCAACATGGGTTCTCATATTACTGGAAAACGGTTTGAGTTATTGTACCGCAAGAGAAACTGGGAAATAAGGAAGTAATCGGGTGGCAGACGGTCGTCAAAATGAAACAGGAAGGAATAAAAAATGGTTAAAATCGGTATGACAATGAGGATGGAAATATTGTGTGCGCGCACCTATGCTACTGAGATTGACTCTGAACATGCTGGCTTAAGAGATTGACTTTCAAGCAATGGATACAGAATTCCAACTCCACCTGACCAACTACTGCCTGGGCAACCTAAATGGCATAATCAGTCATCACACAAATCTAGTTCAACTATTACACAAACGCGCACCAGGTTACATTGTTACTGATCGCAACATTGTCTAGAAGTCCTAACCAACGATTTCAGCTATCATCCGAACCCTAACCAAGTTCATATTTTCCTACAAAGCTCAGATGAACAGTCAGAGAGTTCATGTGATGATACCATGTCTTAGTAGGACCTCTTTCCATCCTGCTAAACACATTATGAGAGTTAGATGACAAGGACTACATAACACCGATCCCAGTCATCTGAGTCGACACACGTTCAAAACCTTATCAATTGACTTATCTGTTTAACCTTAAATTCTATGCCTGATTCCTGCGTTGCTAACGTAGTGGTTTCATGACATACGACCTATGCTGCGGAGGCAACAGAGGTCGAACACTTGGAATCTCCTAATATATTCTGTTTAATGGCTGACACATGGTCAAATATTAGAACAAAGTGAGTTGGTGCATAGTATATTCGGCACCAAATAAGTAATCGTATATCACAGTAGTGCCTAAGACGCCATAAAGTGGAAAACAACAATTGACCCTTTTGTATCCAAGCATAAATTTCTCCGACCACTGATTCAACTTTCTGAGTACGTGAAGTGGTTAATACACTAATTCGTTTCACTCTTTACTGTTAGATGAGGCCCCAACGCAGAATAGTCTTGCAGCAACAATTTGCATCTGGATGGTAAGAAACGCATCTTAAACATTCTCACATCGCCAGTCAGTGTTCAGAAGACTGCATTTTGTAAGCATATCCAACCAACAGGAAAATGTTGCCTACATACTCTAAGTTCATTAAAGTTTCTTCTGGCAAGCTCAATTCATATAAAGTCAAATGAAGAGAGATTCCCGTCAACATATGCATGACCAAATTAAAAAGGAGTGAAGCATGTAAACACCCATGGACACCACTCGACCTACACAACTCACTGTAGCCTCTTACATGTCAGAGGATGTTCGAATAGTCTTTAACTGAGTGATATAATTACTCCGTGACTCTTCACTAAGAGGTTCATAATTAACGGAATCGAATGCTGCATTCGGGTCGAGAAAAACAGCTAGTAACAGGCGGTTGTGTTCCATAACTTAACGCGAAGTGAATATATGGTCGAAACACCTACTACTAAGTTTGAAATCTATAAGGCTTTCTCGGGTTTGCTATTTTCGAGCTTCACTTAGGCGTCTAATGATTAAAGACATACTACAGGACCCACAAGAACAACCCAGAACCTCGCACGGAAAGGCATTGGTCAAAGTTGCTACTCTCTTGGATAAAAGAATGTACACCTGCTGTAGTACGACTCAAGTCCACCCTCAGCTTTGACCTGTTAACGTATAATGATCCACGTTTGCCAACAACGTAGTGCACATGGGGCCACTGCTTTAGTCGGACCAAAACATAGGGCCAGTGGAACTGGTTGTAGGGCCAATAATCAACAAGTGGAACCAGAAATGGGCCCAAATGTAGAGTTAAAAACCATCGGGCCAGACGTACAGAAAATGCTGCGAATTCTTAAGCCTGGTCCTACATTTGGCAAGACGTTTCCGACAGTGAGTGGCCAGACATTGCCCTACAAAAATGTTGACTGGGATATGTTATCGAATGGTTGTCTTCCAGTCATTTCCAAATCATTCCAGGTTGAAAGAATAGTTGAAATCTATGAGGTGACTTAAGGCAATGAAACCCTATTGCTTTTTTACCCCTCATTGGAATTTTAACACCAAATACAGCCCAGAAAAGATATTAGACTCTTAACGTGGAAATCTGAAATCATCAGACCGAGTTAACTACTAACTCCTGCTGCCCACCTAGTTTTTTCAGTCATTCTTAAACCTCCATAAAAATTATTGAAATTTGAAGGTAAGCACTCATCCGTTTTGAGCTTTGACTTATCCTTCTACGTAACAGGATTTCGCCAATCAGTCAACTCTCTACAGCTCATGAACAGATGTGCTTGCGATCAGTGCAGACATACTAAAGTAAGAACCCAGATTGCACAAAAATGTAACTTTATTTCAACCACACGTTGAGAAGCAGCGGGTACAAAAGTATATTACACCAGACAAAGTTTTATCTATTGTCGTCAATGCTGAGTTTTTGCACCTACGTTCTGCTTCTGACAAGTTGCTTGACTTGTCATATCCCGAAAGGGGACAAATACAACTGTGATTAGTACTTACACTACAGTTTCCGAGGCGTCACAACTAGATTAAGTAACCCTACGACCGTAGTGGCCTCTGGTTCGATGTTCAATATCCGACACCATACAAACGAGGTCATTAGTATCATCACTCTCTTTTCTTAATTTTATGGAATTTTTACTGAATTTATGCAGGTTCGAGGCAATTACACTAGGCTACTTACCCGCTGTGACTGCATTCAACTTAATGGGCTGCAGGGTGTTGGTTAATCCTGAAGGGAAACATATGATTTGTGCGGAGATGGTAGGTCAGCTGGAATCATGTGATTTCACTTCGCCTCCGCTGCATTCAGACTAACTTAAAAAGATAAAAGGGGATATATCCAGTAACGATTATAGTGTTGCTGAGTGGAGAGAACTAGAAGCTTTGAAAATAAACAAATATCTTTATTTTCAAGTTATGAAGTTAACATGAGAGAAGCCAGTGTACAGGCCTCACAAATTGATAATTGCAGAGAAACATAGAAGGTTCTAGCAGTATTGAATAATACAGAGGGAGGACATTAAACTCTATCATGATACCAAGCGTCTAAATGTTAACAAAGTAGCAGCAAAATATCACTTTACAGTACATACACATCGTTCTGAGTCTAGGTCGTTTCTGCTCACAATTCCTTCTTCACATCAAACGGCACAATATTTGGTGTTTGAGTTGTGAGTAGTCGACATGGCTGACCTATCTACAAGACCGAGTGTTTCATCAGATAGACGTCTATTCTAACAGAAATTCTTATGTTCGTAGATTTATTGACTAATAATAACTTACTTCAATGACTTCAGGAATAAGTAGGTATCCATACAGTCATTTAATCCATGTGTTACCAGCAATTCAGATTGGTAGTATTGAAAATATCTGTTGTGGTACGAGTAATTAAAGAATGAAAGAATCGTCGTTCAACAGTGGTGAATATTACACATGTGTATAACTTCATGGACTTAAGTCTATGAATTCACATTAAAGTATGCAACATTGTCAAGGAGATACATTGGCTGTTAATTGACTTCTATGAGATGGATTGATACAAGACAAGGTACTAGAGAAATCTGTTACATAGCATTATTATGGATGTGTTGCTGTTAGGTAAAGTGATCTGTCGAGTTTGATTGTTCATCCAGATTTCCGCTGCATTTGTCACGGACCAGAAATCTGAGACCAGTTATTGTGCTTGAGGTTTTGTATGTGGTAGCATTTAGGGTACTGGCAGGGAGGTGAGTTGGTTGGTAAGCTGTTCAAGAAACAGGAGTCGAAGTGAAGCCGATCCACTTACGGAAAGTTCAGTTGGCTCACTACTGAAAGAACCGCTTACAGACATAAAACAAGTTTACTTAGATCCTTATCATGCCTCAGGATTCGTACCGGTGTGAACTTGATAGATACAAAGACCATTCACTAATTATTCGAACTTGTTATATACCCACGAATACGAGACCAAGGAAGAACACGATAGCGTAGTCGGATGGAATAGTATATTTCGACGGTTATGCCAAAATACCGATGAGTTCCAACTAACTGGCTAGAGGGTCGAATACGAGCAGTGCAGCGTAACGCGACAGCGTGCCAAATGGCCAGGATGCTTGACCGGGTGCATTTAGCCTAGCGAGTCCAGTTGAACTATCAAGGTCAGCATCAATATTGAGTGTCGTCAAGCCCTAGGCTATTGATTTTGGGGAAGTGTGTGACGCTGCAGATCACTCCCCCCCTAGTGGGTTCGTGAGGATCCTAAGACGATACCAGCCGGAAGCAGAAATCTAGTGATTTCTCCACTGGTAAAACTCTTCCAATGGACTCACTACGTGAAGTGGCCCCTGGTTGTCTGAACTTATTCTAGGGTGTCGTGGCAATTAAATAATAAAATACAATAAATCAAATTGTACGTCGATCGTGGTCCTCAGTTTTTTTGGCGTTGCACCTGGAATATAAATAAAAGTCTTCAATGCCACGAAACTGTTTCGCAAAAATAAGAATTATTTATACATAAACATATCGAAAAATGAAAATTCACGCTTATTTTCACCGTTTTTTTCAACGTTTCGTTACATGATAATAAAAATTGATATAAAAAGGCAAAATGTACGACGGGTTTGCACATTGCCGGTAGATGAAAAAAATAGTGCCTCGGAAAAAAAAATTTGTAAGCAAAAAAATATGGTTGGCACATTTTATTTCACACCGCTAAGTTGAATACGATTTTAAATACTCCGGGCACCTGACGCTTCGACCTGATCGTGTTTTCTGTTGCGCCTAGGATTGCTGTAACTGTGCATTACCAGGCACATCGTCGAGAATTTCGATAATTGAGTCATCCGTCGGTCGGATGTAGCGATCTGAAACGTCACTTATAATGGGGTTGCCTTCGAAATAAGCTGGTTTCAAACGGTCGATACTGACAGTATCTTCGCGTCCGTCTCGCTCAATTATATAGAATTTCTCATGTCGCTTAATCACTTTGAACGGCCCGTCGTAGGGTGGTTCAAGTGGTCGACGAACAGCGTCGTGGCGAACAAACACGTGTGATGTCTTCTGTAAACTGGGGTGGACGAAAACATCAGTCGTTTGCGGTCTAATCGGAGAAGGCCTAACTGAACGCATTGCGTTTGTAAGCCTAGTCACGTAAGATGCCCTGTCGGAAACATGTTTGAAAGTTGAAGGGGAAACAAACTCACCTGGTAGGCGAAGAGTGGTCCCATAGACGAGTTCTGCAGGAGTGCATCCAGCATCAACTTTCAACGCGTTACGAATACCTAGTAGGACTAGAGGCAGAGCCTCGGTCCACTGAGGTATGTTTGTAGCTGAAAGGGAAGCTTTCAGCTGTCGATGGAAACGCTCTACCATGCCATTTGCTTGTGGATGGTAGGCTGTCGTTCGGAACCGAGTGCAACCTAAAAGTGCCGTTAGAGCGTGAAATAGTCCGCACTCAAATTGGCGCCCACGGTCGGTTGTGACGTAGGATGGACATCCGAAGTTCGCGATCCATCTTTCGACGAAAACACGAGCAACTGTTTCGGCAGTAATATCTTTAATGGGTACTGCTTCCGGCCATCGTGTGAAACGATCAACACAGGTGAAAAGGTAGGTACATCCATTAGATTCTGGTAGGGGTCCTACAATATCTATATGGACGTGGTCGAAACGCATGTCTGGGGCTAGAAATGAGCCTAAAGGGCTTTTCGTGTGTCGCGTGACTTTACACTTTTGACAAGCTAAGCACGACTGGGCCCACTCCTTAACGTCTTTGTTCATCCCAGGCCAGCAGAAACGTTGTGCGATAAGCCTAATGGTGGCTCGTACACCTGGATGAGAGAGTTTGTGCAACGTATTGAAGACGTTGCGTCGACAACTCTTCGGAACTATTGGGCGTGGTTGACTAGCAGAGACATCGCACAAAATTGCATCCTTGTCTGATCCAACAGGACAAAGTCGCAGTTTGAGAGTTGTGGACGACAACTCATGATGCAGCTCAAGGTCTTCCTTTTGACGCCGAGCTAGTTCAACGAGATCAATACCCTCGATATAGTTTATCGAAGCTATTCGAGATAGTGCGTCGGCTGCGGAGTTGTTTGCTCCAGAAATGTGGCGGATGTCTGACGTGAACTGGGAAATGTAATCCAGCTGTCGCGACTCACGAGGGGAGTATTTGTCAGACGCCGAGCTGAGGGAAAAGGTTAACGGTTTGTGGTCTGTGAAAATAATGAAATCACGACCTTCCACAGAATGTCGAAAATGGCGTACAGAACAGTACATGGCTAGGAGTTCCCTACCAAATGTACTGTATCTTGTTTCCGCGTCTTGCAGCCGCCTCGAGAAAAAGGCTAACGGTTGCCACTGGTTGTCAGTCAACTGTTGCAAAACTGCTCCAATTGCTGAATCAGATGCATCAACAGCAATACTCAGAGGAGCATTGGGGTCATGATGCATAAGCATGGTTGCGTTCGAAATGGCTTCCTTGACTTTGGAGAAAGCAAGTCTAGCCGCGTTGTCCAGAGACACGAACTTCGCAGTTCCTCGAAGTAGATCTGTGAGTGGTCTCATGACAGAGGCACAGTTAGGGATAAACCTTCGGTAATAACTTACCAGGCCATTGAAAGTGCGGAGATGTTTCACAGTGGTCGGCTCTGGATAGTTTGTGATAGCCGCCACTTTATCTCTCAATGGGCGTATACCTTTGTTGTCAATGGTATGCCCAAGGAAGCTGAGTGATTCAACTCCTATTTCACACTTCTGTAAGTTAACTGTGATGCCATGTTTTTTGAGTCTTTCGAATGCGAGGTCCAAATGTTTAAGGTGTGTTTCCTTATCTGGACTCGCAATTAGACAGTCATCGATGTAGACATGAACAAAATTCAGACCACGGAAGACGTCGTCCATAAAGCGTTGGAATGTTTGTGCTGCATTCCGAAGACCAAAAGGCATGCGCAGGAATTCAAACAGGCCAAAAGGAGTAATAATGGCTGTTTTCGCGATATCTTCTGCTGCCATAGGTATCTGGTTGTACGCTTTGACCAAGTCGATTTTCGAGAAAATGTTCATGCCGCATAAGGTTGCGGTCAAGTCGTAAACGTGGGTATAGGGTAGCAGTCCGGAGTTGTTTTGGCGTTAAGCCTTCGGTAATCACCGGTCGGACGCCAGTCGTTGCTATCCTTTTTGGGCACCATGTGCAATGGCGATGCCCAAGGACTGTTTGACGGTCTGATAATGCCCAGTTCGAGCATATGGTCGAATTCATTTTTCGCCGTTTGCAGCTTATCGGGGGCTAAACGGCGAGCTTTGGATGCCACAGGTGGACCTGTGGTTGTGACGTGATGCATAACATTGCTGGTTATGCACGGAAGAGTGTGTTTCGGTTGTTGTAACTCTGGATATTTCTCCAGAACTGCCTGGTAGGACGCGTCGCCTGATTGTTTAGTCCTAACGATGGCTAAACTCGGACCTACATAGGTGGTGCCGCCAATAGATAACTTTGTGTTGTTATCTATCAGTCGTCGACGGCGAGCATCTACGAGTAGATCGTAATGGTTTAGCAAATCTATGCCAATGATGGGCATAGA